TGGTGTACATATGTGGGAAATTATTAATATAATTTCCGTGTATGTGGACTGTATTATATAGAGCTGGTTCAATAAAATTAGGATAAGTAATAAAAGGTATACAGACAATAGCAAAATAAGTGTATAGAAAGTCTTAACAATATTTTTTCTGCTCCACACTCACGGTTTTTCTTTTCTTATGCGGAATATGTCTGGGTTAACTCGCGGTTTTTCTAAACACGTGTTTCGCGGTACTACACTTTGCGAGATAAGACACACTTTGTCTGTACACGATTTAAAATAGTGTTTTCGGTATTTCTCGCGTAACTAAGGCGAGAGAGAGTTATATTTGCGGTAGGAAAACAGCCAAGATAGATGCTGTTCTTCTTGATAAGCGAAAAGAGAGATAATGGTCTGTCCTTAGCGACAGGCGACCATCCAGAGAGATCTGTCCTTATCGACAGCTGATGATGAAGAGAGTATCTTTCTTGTTTGCTATCTTAACTGTCTGTATTTCTAATGGAGAGGGGATAAAATGTAATAGGAAGGGTATCAAGGGTTGGACTAAGATAATTATTGTAAAATTGTGAAATAAGGATAATTAATAATACAGCGAAAAAATGACATGGTTTTTCGCATGTGAGAAAATTGAACAGCAGGTTTTTTGATTTTAAGTGTTTTTTAACAGCGGGCACGAATTCAAGAAAAAACCATTCTTTAAAAAGAGCACAATCCATCCAGGCAGATGAATGATTACGGTAATACACGGGGAGTGTTGCCATATTGAGATTTTTAAAAGCTCTCGGCTTCTTAGATTTGCCGATAACAAACAACGGCAGTTTGTGACTGCCACTGGCGTTGCTACACGTAGCAATTGTTAGTCTATCCTTAGCTAGCTTTGTACCCAAAACAGGCTCATTTTTAGAAGCAAGAGTAGATTTTGGCAACATTTTATAGTTCAGTCCGGTCTCGTCTACGTTATATACTTGTTCGGCTACAAGATTACTATCCGACACCAACTTTTGAAACTTTTCTACAAAATCTTTTGCAGCATCGTCATCAGCAGACAACTTTTCACCCGCAATAACAACATGTCTAATGCCGTGGCGAAGCTTCCAGCGGTGAAACCAACCTTCGCTTGCCTGGAAAGTCTCAACTTCTCCTCCCAATTTTTCAAACAGCTTTACGGCTTTTTCTTTTACAAGAGGCTTCGACAAAGGAGTCCCTTTTCGCCGTTCTTGGCAAAACCAAACCCAAAGAGCTTCGTCAACGAGTTCTAACTTAGGTTTTTTTAACATTTTTCGATTTTTAAGAGCATCTGCCGTTTCAACGGTCATAGAATAGGTTTCGATGTCTTTACGGTTTTTTCTCCAGTCTTTAACTGTTGTCACGCCGACCCCTAGCTCTGCGTCTAATTTTACTAGTGACTCACCACGGTCCAATCGTTGGGGTACTTCAAGTTTTTGTTTAAGGGTAACGCACACACGCTTACGTTTTTGAGTAGCCATAGCTAACGTTCACTAATCGCACAACACAGTTTTTTACACAATCACAAACCAAAGATTGTACATACAACAATCACGAAAACAAAACAGTCAAGTATGTAGAGCAACGGTTACGTCTACAATCAGAACGCAACTGGCCGTTTAACAGAGAAACAATGCACAGTGCTGCTGATGAGTCATGTTTCACGTTGAGACTTGTCAAACCGGCAAAAGACGGTCGGGCACATGGTCGGATATCCCGAGGAGGTTCTACTGTAATTTAATCCTGGATATCTAACAGCTCACTTGACAAGATAAAGTACAATGACACCTAATAAGTAATAATCTCAATATTATAAATATTGTATTTATGAAATTTTGTTATAAATCATGATACTTCATTATTTATTCCTGTTACTGATTAACAAGTAGTAAATTGTACATCGAATATACAAAATTCACTGAAAGCTTAATACTAGTTCAATGTCTAACATACTTTGCTTCCTTTTAGCAGCACAGGTATTAAATTTATAATTAGACTTCGGCAAATATGCAAATAAAAATGTAGAAAATATGCGCATAAATATGCACGTGTTTACCCGAAAATATGCAAATATTTTACAAAATATGCATACAAATAAATAAAAAAATCGTAAAATAGTAACAATTTTATTTAAAAAAAAAGTGTACATAACTAAATATTTCCTACTATTCATTAAGATTTACATTTATTTTAAGTAACTACATCATTTTTAAGTATGAATAAACTTATTTAGAATTATGGTAACAATAAATGACCAAGTGGTGTTCAAAATTTTCTAACAAAAACTTGTGGCTTCTGTCTGAGTACATATATTTATATATGGAAAAACTTCGTTCAACATCAACTGATGTAACGGGAGCATTTTTCAAACTAACCAAAACATTTGGTTCTAAATTAATTGTTTCCGAAATATTTCCAGCTAGAACACTGACTACTTCAGAAAGAATATGGTAACCTTTATTTTTTTCCATAGTAGCTTCAAATTTTTTTAAAATATCTTTTCCAATATTACCTCTAACGTTCCGACAACATGACGCAAATTCTTTTATTAATGCTGTACTTTCGAACAATGACAGTTTTGGTGATTCTAACTGAGTAATTGTTTTTTGAACAAAACTAAAATTTGATTTTATAAATGAAAGTTCTTGTTGAAGCAAGTTACTCTGAAAAGTTTGTTTAGAATCCAAAAGAGATTGGGAACTTTCATCTGTTAACGTATCAATTATGTTCTTTATTTTAACAAAATGATCTGCATAAAAATTAGCTGCTTCTAACCATGTTCCCCATCGCGTTAAAATAGGTTGTGGTGGAAGAGGAATGTTAGGTAGCATTTCTTTATAAAGTTGAATTCTTATAGGAGATTTAAGAAATACTTTTTTGACACTGGATATCATGGTATTTACAAGAGGAAACTTTTTTCGTATTTCCTCTGCAACTCTGTTTAATCCATGCGCTACACAAGTAACATGTATTAAATCTGGGAAAAATATTTTTAAATTTTGTCCTGCTTTCACCATATAAGGAGCAGCATCCGATAAAATAAGCAGTAATTTATTAGAAGGAATAGTTCGAAAAAAAGTTGCTATGTTCTTGTATAAAACGCGAAATTGTTAAAGCATTTGTTTTCTCAAGTTGCTGGCATGAAATAAGATGAGATTTTGGTAAGGTATCTTCTTTAAGAACACCAATCAATAAATGAGCAATATACTTTCCTGAGGAATCAGTGGTTTCGTCTACAGATATGTAAAAATATTTATCTGCAATTTCTTCCTTAATATTAATTAACACCGACGAGTATAGCCCGTTCACATTATTTCTTCTTAGAGACCGATCACTTGGAACATTAAGTTTGCAATATTTTTTTAGAAACGAACTAAAATTTACATTTGCTAATTTTGAAACCGGTATGTTTGCAGACACTAATGCGCCATTAGTGTCTGCCAAAAACATTTAGCCATTGAAGTTTGATGTTTTCCTCCTATTTTTCCTTTTTTTGCAATGTGTGAAGCAGTTCTCACATGTTGGTCTATCTAAAATTTCTTCTCGCATGCTATCTATAAATAAAAATAAAAACCTTTATTTTAACCCAACCTTTAAAATATAAAAATATACAAGGTGTTTTTGGTTAATCAAATAACTGGTTTGGAAAAAAAAACACTCGCTAAGTGTTTTAAATGCAGTATTAATCCACAAATTAGTTTTTGTTACTAACCATTAGTACATCATATAACTTATTTTAAAATTCAACAAAAGTTTTTTTTTGTTAAGTCAATTACAATAAAAATAATTGTGTTTTAGAATAGCTGACTTCATAAAAAAAGTAAAGGTGAAAAATTTTTCTAAATACACACCATTGTATTGTACCATGGACAATTTTTTCTCACTAAAGGAAGCTATTTTTCATTTAAAAACAACCTACGAGTACTAAATTTCAAGTAAATACGTTTATTGGTTTTAAAGTTATTGTTGTTATTAACTAAAAGAATTTATTTTTTTTTTAATTTTAACACCCTGTATCTCGAAAAGTAAATAAGTTTGACCCCTCATTAACTATATCGTTTTGTTCAATTTTTCGAGAAGTATCTACAGTCAAACGTTGTAAGTGTCATTTGGAAACACCCTGTATGTATGAAATATTAGATATTTAATAGAAAATATTAGATACTTACAATTTTGCCACAGACTGAACAGTAGATTTTTCCCATATCCATAGACAGCTCTTTATAAGGTTTAATCCAAGTTGAAGCACTGGTTATTTTAGGCATTATAAAATCACAATATTCCTTTTTGTTACGCACAACGAGTGTTTACGCTTTGAATATCAAAACAAAAATGATTTACAAATCTGAGCATCAAATTAGAAATGTTTAGGTACCTAATTCAATAAACTGGAAGATTTTGGAAAATCCCTAAATTAGGAACAAAACTATTAGCCGTTTACCTGCTGTTAAGATACAATAAATTGTAGATAGATTTGGGGATTAGATCATAAAATGCAAATGAGCGAACCCTTAGCAATTATCCAATAAATGAATGCCTCAGTGACCGAGACTTTCTAAGAATGTTGAGGGCTACTTAACAAAATTTTATACAAGAATTGAAATAAATTGGTATGTTTAAAAATTTTCAAATACAGTATAAAAATCTGAACTTTTATGCACTTTATGCAAACTTTTATACAAATATGACAAAATATGAAATATTTGCATAAAATATGCACAATATGCAAAATATGCAATATGCATATTTACCGAAGTCTATTTATAATAGTGTCTTTTTTTTCTATAGTATATAAATTGGTAGATTTAGAATGAGACAAATACAAAAATGAAAAAGTTTTGTGTAGTAAAATATTTTTTCAATCTCAATTTTGAACATGTTTGTTTAACTGTTGGTGAATATTAACAGATGCTTAGCGGCACTTATCATCTTTATATGGATCTTAAATTATTATATTTTGGGTATGCAGAGTAGATTGTTTTTTCATTACTTACTGTATACAACTTCCTTAATCCACGTTCGCACCTTCTTGCAACATATTTCATTGAATCTAAATTTAAAATCTCTTCAATAGATGGTCTCATAGTTTGTATCAAAAATTTCATTCGTTTAAGTAATAAATTTAGTGTAGAAGAAACTCCTAAAAATGGACGAACATAGTATATTATTTTATATTTATATTCCACTATAATAGCATGTTTGTAATTTTATAAAGCCCAATAAAATTATTTCTTGAAATTGATTTACGTAGTCACCATATTTCATTTTATTTATCAAACAATCAGTACTTACTTCCGATAATAAGCCCTGAAAGAGTGTATCCTAAGTCAAATACATCCACTGAAGGACTGAGTCTCTGGCTAGCAATTGTTACGGATGAGTAGCTTATATCCATATCTGACAATTTCGGTTGTGTGCATTGACGTGGCTGTAAAAAATAATGTTAGTAATAAAAATATATATATATATATATATATATATATATATATATATATATATATATATATATATATATATTTCACTTGATCTCAAAAAAAAAATAAATTTATCACAATTATACTTATATGATTTTATATTTTGTTTTGTTATCCAATTTCCTTTTTATTAGCCAACCTCGTTTACCATGTCTTCGATTTGAAGTTAGTTCAATACCAAACGTGATTAGAAATATAATTGTTAAACACAAGAATATAAATGTTATGGTAACACAATAGACATTTACTGTTTCTGACCTTGTATAGGTAATGAAAATCGCATATTTAAAAGAGAAGAAAGTAAATAGACACAGTTCAATTTAATTCTGTTAGAATATCCAACATAAAAAGTGGATGTTGTCCTATAGTTGTTCTATATGAAGTGACATTGTTGACAGTTCAATGAGTAATGTCAAAAATAGGTCATAAACTACTGTCAGTCAAGTTTTGTATTGTTCTGTATGTAAGAAGGAATAAAGTATAATTGTTGATGGCCAGACGTTTATTGGTGCATATTTCCTAAAGTACATATTTCCTTGTCTCTTGATGTCTTCTAGAAGGAGGACTTCACCTTACTTAAATTATAACAGGTTCTGGGCCCAGTCCACGTGTAAACTGTGAACAGGTTAGGTTCGTACTTCATTCAGTTTTGTTATTTGTTACTATTGGTGAATAAAATATGGCGACCAGCAATAACAGTTATAAAATTCAAGTTGACAAACTCAGGGTCCTGAAGACTGGGCAAAGTGGAAATGGCACGTTTCGATGTTATTATATTCGTATGCACTGGAAGACATTGTAAACGGTATGTGTAAGTGTCCTGAGGTTAATGAAGATTTAAATTCAGTGGAAATACAGAAGCATCAGCAATGGTTAAAAGACGATGCAAAAGCGGCAAGTTTTTTGGTAGGTACGCTAGGAAAAACTGTTGCCGAGCTCGTGTGGACGTGTACTCACGCTAGTGAAATATGGCGCAAATTTCATGCGAGATTTAAACGTACCAGCACGCAACGGTTAAACATGTTTATTGAAGCCTTGTTTAGAATCCAACGTGATGAAAAATAAGATATTAGTACACATGTTGCGAAGTTGCAGAAACTGTTTGTAGATTTGAATGATGAACTGCATAAGCATGACGAAAATGTTTTATCTGAAAGAACGTTAAATGGTCGGATCTTATCAACTTTGGGTAACGACTTTGATAATTTCAAAGATTTGTGGGACACGATACCATCAAAGAATCAAACTTTGAATTTATTGATTGAGAAATTGTGTACCATTGAATTACGTGACCAAAGTATTGTAGAATCGTGCAAAAGAAAAATGTTCAAGGCATAAATGCAAGAAATTAGGCCATTGAGCGAAAGATCGTCCGTTGAAAAATCAACTGAGAATTTAGGTAAGAATAAAAGTAATGATACTGATTTTTTGTCTGTTGTTTTAAGTCTTCTTTGGGTGCCGTGTCCGTATTCAGACGTTGGCCGTCATCATGTTTACAATTTCCTGAAACCTTTCTCTGTCGGCTGCTGCGCGAAATAATTCTTCTACTGTGAAACCACACCATTATCTAATATTCCGCAGCCATGAAAGTTTCTTTCGACCAATCCATCTCTTTCCTTCCACTGTTTTAAGTACCTCATCTAATAATTGTATTGAAGCTGGAAAATGGTATTTTGACAGTAGAGCTACAAATCATATCACTACAGATAAGCAATATTTCTCATCTTATACAGAATTTGCTGAACCAGAAAGTATATCACTTAGTAAGAAGGATGTATGTATGTTAGCCCATGGACAAGGAACAGTGAAAATTCAAACGCATCTCAATAATAAATGGAAAGGTGCTGACTTGAAGAATGTTTTTTATGTTCCTGAAACAAGTGCTCATTTATTTTCTGTAAAAGCTGCTGCATAAAGGGGTTTTATTACAGTACTTGATGATAAAGGTGTAAATATATATAATAAAACACTTGTGAATCTGTAATAACTGGGTACTTCAGTAATGGCCTGTATGCACTTGATATACGTGTTATGAAACCGACACATCCCGTTCAAGTAAACTTAGCAGAGTCAACAGATATGTTGCAAGTGTACCATGAAAGATTTGGTCATCGGCATAAGCAACATGTAAGGAAGGTATTGAAGAAAATAAATCTAGACATTGATGGGTGCAAAGAAATCTTTTACGATGGATGTGCAATTAGAAAAATGCATAGATTGCCATTCAAATCTAGGATCAATCGACCCACAAGTTACTGGTGAACAAATCCATGCAGATGTGAATGGGCTCATGTCTATAGAATCACTGGGAAAAGCACGTTATTACGTATATTTGTTTTAAATATGACTGGTAAGTTTCGGAAAGTTTTCTTTATGAAACACAATAGTGAGTTATGTACTTTCTTAGAACAATTTTTAAAGTAAGCTAGTACAAATGGCCATGTAGTAAAGCAACTGAGATACGATGGAGGGAGTGAGTTTGACAATATAAAGGTATCTGAACTTATTGCGAAGAGAGGTATATAGCATTGTATCACTCCACCCTATACACCTCAGCAGAATGGCGTTGCTGAAAGGGAAAACCGCACCATTGTAGAGCGTGCATGTTCCATGTTAAACATGTAACGAAATATTTTGCCTACCACATACAAGGGGTAGAAAATTGGCGACTGAAACTAAGGGGGTGGAGATAATTCAAGCAAAATAATCGCTACTTGTGCGAACGGCACTCAGGGTTTGTTAGGAGAGCTGGGGTCGTGGATAAGTAAATGGCAAAGGGGTTTGGATTGGGGCAACTACAAAAAAATGAAATAAAGGGGTCATTAATCTCTTGGAACAAACAAAATAAAAATAAACAGGAAACACCTCTAGTAATTTAATATAGGGCGCCACTTTGAAGTGCCATAATTATACCTATTACAACCACTAGTTGTAACTAGGGAAATAAGTATTAAACATAAAAATCATATCCTTTTCAAACGAAACTCAAAAAAGGGTTAGTTAAAAAAATAAACAAAATGTTAAGAAAACAAAATTTAACATTTATTGGTGTCTTACCACAAACAGTTACAAAACATAGAGAATACACGAATACTCAAAAAAGACAAAATACAAAAATATTACCTCAATAGTCGCAAAATACAAAAATACAAAAAAAACTTACATGTCATTTACAAACTCTAGCAGTTGGAGATACTACAAAAAACTTACAAATGTTACCGCATAGAGATTAACCTTTTTTTAAACAAACAAAACAAATAAATATCGAAAATAATAAAGCTAGCTGTCATATGTTAACATTAAATTTTAAAAACTGAAAACAAATAAAATAACAGCTAAAGTCAAAACCCAAAATTTACAATATTAATAATACTGTTTTTAAATTTTAACAAAAGCAATTATTTATTTAAAAAAATTGTCTGTCTTTACCTTAAAATTTGACCAAAAAGTTACCTGAATTTTTCACTAACAAACTGCACTAAAATTTGTGGAACCAGACGCCACTGGAACCTCCGAAACCATAACTGAAACTGGGGCCTTCACTCTCTCTGCGTAACGAAAAACTCCATCTCCAAACTGCCAAAAAGCCTTGACTGACAAACAGGGAGAAACAAAACGAGGATGGAAACGACGATTCTTCCAATCCTCACTCAAAACATTAATTGAAGCATTAACTGCCACAAAACTACTTTTCACTGCTACATATTTCCATAAAGAGAAAAACAGAAAACCACAAATTCGACGGATGAATTTGGATCCATAATTGAGCCTACCAAGTAAGAATGACGAAATTTTCTTAAAAATTCGTTCACATGAAAATAAACAAGACGCTGAAATAACAAAACACTTGACAGGAATTAAAAAAGCAAAAGATTCCATTTCTACGACATACAAAAATTATAAGGCGACTTCAAATAAAACATTAAAAGAAAATGCCGAGAAAGTACACATCTTTAAAATAATATACAACTCTAAAATGGTTTTTATTACTTGGCAACGCTAAAATGAATTGAAAGAATTCGGTGTTTTAATACGTACGAATTGGAAATTGAAACACATTGAAAAATAATCTGCAATTTCTCAAACATATATGAGGGGATTTCAATATACACCAAAAAAATCAATGAATTGCAAATGCTACAAACACAAGTTTTTCAAACAATTGTGGGCAGAAGCATGCAATACTGCAGTGTACATTCTGAATCGCATAGGAAAGTCATCAATTGAAAGTAAAAGTCCCTATGAATTGTGGTATGGAAAGCCAATTAGAAGTTTGAAACATTTAAGAATATTTGGCACTGAATGTTATGTTCACGTTAACAAGAATCTTCGCACTAAATTTGATGACAAGGCGATACATGGTTATTTAGTTGGTTATGTGAATGACAGGGATGGTTTTAGGATATGGATTCCATCTAAAAGGAGAATCATATCGAGTCACGACGTACGATTTAAACCTGAGGTTATATGCAATTTGCGAATTGTTGAAGTTAAAGCCAAATCAGTGAACCAACATCAGTCGGAATGTTTTAGTGTGAATGAAAACTCCGAAGAAGTAAAAAGTGTTATCGGTGAAATTGTGGAATTTGAGAATATAAAAGGCGTAGAAGAAAGTGCGAGTGACAATCAAGAAGTGAATGGAGAAGAAAGAACTAGCGATAGTGTT